TCCTGGTATGATGAAAGATGAGAATATATTCATTCAGGAAGTGCAATGAACCCCAAACAGGATAGACTCCAAAGGAAAATCACCAAGACATATGAATATCAAACTCACCAAAACCAAAGACAAAGAAAGAATCATGAGAGCAGCATGGGAAAAATGAAAAGTTACCTACAAGGGGCAACCAATAAGACTAAGCTCAGATTTCTCAACAGTAACCATGCAGGTGAGAAGACAATGGGATGATATACATAAAACTCTGAAAAAGAAAAATTTCCAACTAAGAAATATATACCCAGCAAAATTATCCCTCATATATGATGGTGAAATTAGGATATTTCCAGAGAAGCAGAAATCAAGGGAATTTGTTACAACCAGACCAAAATTACAAGAGATACTAAAGGGTGCCCTTTGGACAGAGAAGCAACAATAACCAACAACAACTGACCATTAACATACATGATCATATAACCCAGAAACCAACCCAGTTGTGGAAGTATCTAAAGTAAATAAGCCTACAAGATTGTAAACAGTGAACCAGAGACATCAATTGACAAATGAGGACAACTACAAACCAAAAAGAGGGAAAAAACTGTTGTTACAGAACTTCTAGATGATAGGGAAGTCAAGACAACTACAAGATAGAACGGACTGTTCTAAACTTGGGAAGAAAATTATAAATCACAGGGTAACCTCAAAGAAAAATGATAAGCCTTTACATCAAACAAAGAGGACCAGCATAAATATTCAGCAAATACTAAAACAATAGCAATAAGGAAGTGATAACACAATTCATAAACAAAACGAGCTCAGCATAGAAAATTATATGGATCAAAGAAAACGACACCATGACAAAGCACGTAACAAAAGTGACAGCAACAAATTCATATTTGCTGATAATTACATATCTGGCAAGGTACTTATCTCTAAAATTTATAGTGGAAGAGTGGATGACCAAACTATGGTACATACACATAATGGAATGCTATGCAGCCCTAAAGAATAATGTAGAGTCTGCAAAACACCACATAATATGGATGAACTTGGAGGACATTATGCTGAATGAAATAAGTCAATCACTGAAGGACAAATATAGTATTAGTTCATCATTGTGGAGGGTCCAGGAAAGGTTTATATATGCAGGGAAACATTCTTTGTTGTTTGCCAGGAGTGGGAGGGGAGGGAAGGGAACACTGCAAAAAAAAAAAAAAAAAAAAAACCTGCATTGACCCGTGTCACTTTGGTTTTGTGTATTTCACTGTACATAAATTATATTTCAATAAAATGCATTAAAAAAAGAAATCAAACAAACAAACATTCCAACAGATCTACTTGCCTCCTCACTTTTTTATCTATAATTTTCTAATTGCCACCACAATCTTATTTCAGAAATACAAATCTGACTCTCTCACTCTGTTGCTTAAAAATCCTTTTGTGGATTCCCAGTGCTTCTCACATAAAATTCACACATTTTAGCATGGTTCAAGAGGCCCTTCTCAACCTGGCTATAGACAAATCTGTCCCAATCAAATAATCTAAAAATATGGAAAATTTCTGTACACAGCGCTTTCCATTGAGGGTTAATTAGTTTCTTACTGCTGCTATTAAGACATCACCACAGACTTTCTGGCTTAAAATAACACAATCATCTTATCATCTTACAGTTTTGGAGGTCAGAAGTCTGAAGTGAGTCTCATGGGGCTAAAATCAAGGTGTTAGTAGGGTTGGTTCCTTCTAGAGGCTCTAGGGGAGAATATATTTCCTTGCCTTTTTCATTGTCTCTAGAGGCTGTCCACATTCCTCAGCTTGTGGTCTCCTTTCTCAATTTTCAAGGTCAGCAACAAATCTTTCTCATGATGCCATCTTTTTAGTTCTTTCTCCCTCATCCTCTTAAAACAATATTTATGATTACATCAGGCCCATCTGGACAATCCAGGATAATCTTCTCATCTCAAGATCAGTTGATTTATCAATCTAAATTCCTTCTGCAACCCTTTGCCGTGTAACTTGATACATTCACTGATTTTCTTTGGGAAGGTAAAAATATTCACCTTCCAAGATTCTCTTGCAGTAGAAGTGGACATGTGATCCAGTTCTACCTAATGATCTGTAAGAGGAAGTCAATGATGTAGTTCTATAGTTCTAGAAAACCCTTTTCTAAAGAGAGAGGTTTGACTTTTGTCTCTTCTTTATTCTTCTCTTTTGGCATGTGAATGCAAAACTGAGGTGCAATAGCATTTTTGTTACCATGAGGCACCAAGCCTGAGTCTGTTGGATTACAGTCTAAGAATGGAGTAGGGGAGAGATGGAAAAACTCCTGGACCTTCTAGTTCTAGATTTGTTTTTGTGTGAGACAAATAATTCTTATCTGATTGAGTCCATTAGATTTTCTGTTAATTTGCAGCCAAATGCAGCTCTGATACAATTACTTCTAAAATTAAAATGAAATTAAAGAAGAAAAATTGTTTGATTTTAAGTTACTTTCCCCCAGTTATCAGTGCATCCCATGAGCAGACCTAGGCCTCCATTCTCATGAGCTCTGCTCATACTCTTTTCTTTTCCCTAATGTTTTCTAGCTCCTAACCCACTTCTTTCTCTACTTAGCAAATTCCTACTCATCCTTCAAAACACTGCTCAAATGTTACATTCTTTGTTAAGTCTTTCTCAAGTTAAACAGGTTCATCCTTGTTCCCAATTGTGATTTGGGTGAAAGTTTACCAAGCAAATTCATTGTCCATACAGCTGTTCATACACATTTTGTCTCATAACATTGACTGCAATTTCCCACAATGTAAGAGCTCTCTTCCCACTTCTTCCCCATAGTTACATCTTCCCTGTGTCCTTCCCTCCCATGTACTCCTCCCCCCTGAGCTGTCTCCCTATATATACACTGCCCTTCTGTTCTCCCATGATTGAGCTCTCCAAGGTGCGTATCTACCTGATGTACATGTTCAACACATATGCCTGTCTGTTATTTGGGTGGAAGCCACAGGAGCGAGTTCAATTCCAGACCTGAGGGACAGCTAGGGGCCATAGTCTCAGGGGTTTCACTGGCTCTATCAGACCAGCAAACCTGGTCTTTTTTTAAAAAAAAAAAAAA